CACTCTCCCCAATCCCCTCCCAGCCAGCCCTGCTGGCCATATCTTCCCTTCTCCCCTCCCCCCCATCATCTTCTCTGGCCAGCCCCACTCCCCCTGACCTCTTCCCAGCCAGCCCCGCTCCCCACTCGCATCTGAGATCAAGTCTGTCCAGTATTTTTTTGAAATCATCTGGTAACCTACAAGAGTGTCTTCTCTTACTGAGAGAATTTCACATTAGAAAATGACCCGGGGGATCAGGGAAGAATCAACGTTCCTTTATTTGCCTCCCTGGTCAGCTTTCTGTGATCTGGAGGGGAAGCCCACAATTCTAACTGATGGCAAATGGAGTCCTGCTGGCAAGACAGTGCTGTGGTACACTCCAGGCCTTGTATTTCGTTGTCCTTATTTATCCCCCACAACCCTACCTCTTCATCCCCAGTCTTCTTGTTCCCTTTTCCTGTTTTCTGTCCTCCCATCTTACTTGCTCTGTGTGTTGGTCAACCTTTTGAAAATGTTTGTACAGGACAAGTTAGCAGCCTAGCAGGATAATGTAGTTGGGGAGAGGAGACGGGGGGAGAAAGCAACTTTGAGATCTTTATTCCCAAATTTCATCCAGCACCACAAAGGGTTTTGGTTCAGGAAGGAGACCCCTCAATTTGCTTTCTCAGTGCAGCTAGGTTGGAGAGCTGTGGTTGAGACATGTAGATAATACAATATGGTGTGCTATGGCCAGTAACCCAGAGAACTTTCTCAAGTGATAATTCTCCTTATGCAAGTGTTCTCAGACAGAGGGCTGTGTCTGGGGAGGGCTCTATGCTAATGTATTTCAGATTATTTCTAATATGACTGTGGTAAAATGTGATGCCTTACTTATCAGGGTTTAAAACTGATAGTGAATTTTTTGGTGTGATGAGAAAGTAGGTTCTTGTTTGAGCATGGAATGGTCCTTCAACGCCCCGTGGCCTTTGGTCACATGCTGAGTCCCCTAAACAGGCTCTTTGTCTCAGTTTCAGTAATAGAGAACATGGTAAAATATGGGTTTGGATTTTTGAGCTGTCTGAATGGACACACCCTTTAGAGAAGTGTTTTAGAAACAGCCATTACTGTCTCTTCTGTCCCCTCTCATCCTGCTGCTGTGTAAACACCTGCAGAAGGTGTGTGAGTGTTCGGTTTTGTGTGTCATGCTCTGTGGTTTGGAGTGAAACATTCAACTTGTTTTTGTTAACTTGTACTTGGAAACTAAATGATTATTTAAATTCTGGAAAAAGGAAACTAGTGTGCTTTGTTATCTCCCACAAATAGCCTGTGTAGGAAGTCACAGGGGATCTGCTGTTACAACCAGTTTTGTTTTACCCTAAAGTAGTCTTAGATATGCTAGTTTCCTTTTAGGAGTGTTAGAAAGAGTTTCAACAATCTCATCTGGCCTGTTGTTATCTTTCTGACCATAGACTGGGGTTTTTTTCCTGTTCAGTAATAGCATTCAGAGGTGTATAGGGACACCACTAATCAATATGTCACATTTTAAGCCATGATCCATGAGTTAGTAACAGGAAAAGGACCAATAGAGAGTTAGGGAAGTCAGTTCATCTTGCAAAGGTGCAAAATATTGTCAGTCGTCTTTGTTGGTGGTCTCACAAGAAAGGTCAAAAGAGACTGAACTCCCCACCCACTTGCTTATTTCAACGCTAAACTGGGTGACATGGTTAGGAGTCAAAATGGGAGAGGTTTGCACAACCACTACGTGTTATATATGCTCCATGGATAATAAGAGTTTAGTCTATGTAGATCAAATAGACTGGCACCTTCTGCCTTCAATTTAAGACTGAAAAATCTTAACTTCATCCCACAGTTGGAGAGTTTATAGAGACACAAAGTGTGAGGCATTGCAGCTCAAAAATTAGGTCTGGTACCTGGGTATCTTCATTTTGATAAGTCATTTATTTAAGTAATTATATCAATTAAATTTCTGTTTCTTTTTAGAGCCACAGTATGTCCAGACTGTTTCAAGCCAGCAAAAAATAAACAGGTAAGAATCCCATAACTGTCATCAGCATCATACTTCAGGGATCAGAATTCTCATGTCAGTTGTTAAAATAAAGGAAGGTTTCTTGAAATTCAGTCATTACTTTAATGCCTATTCCCCCCCTACTTCTGAAAGGCTCTCTAGTGGTTTCAGATGCTGTCTTTTATTCATTCACCTCTCATCATCTCTTCTATTTAGGATGGCCAAGGACTCCATTCCCAGACCTTCAGCAAGAGAGCTATCATTTAAAAAAACATTTCCAATATTACAGAAATGTACTTTGGATACCTTAAAAAAGTCAGTGTAACCGAAGCATTACTTAGTGTCTATCAGGGATGTGGCTAAAATCAGGCTAAAAAAAGAGAATCTAGCCTTAACAAAAGGGGAAAGATCATTTGGTTCTAGAGCATTTTCCTCTGGTCATTATTCCTAATGAAACAAAACATAAGCAGAGCAGTTTTCTTTCATTTAATCCAACTGGTGAAAGAAATAATAAGAGATCTTACCATGGTTGCAGTCTCTGAGAACTGGTATAGTCCTAAATACAAGAGAGGCAAATAATTCTTCAGATTTTCCTTTCTTCCCTAGCCAAAGTCTGGATCAGGAACCTTGTGGGTTAGGAGAAGACTAGACTGCTTCCTTTTTATGCTCTCTTCTTTATAGAAGGCACAGTTCTCAAATCTGCCTCCTAGCAGTTTAATGAGCCATAGCTGCCAGGTTTTCTCTTCAGGTTTGGCAGCTCAGAAGTCTCTCAGGACAAGCTTTTTCCTTAATGCACAGAGAAGGCATTTAATGCCTTACTCTTTTACAGAGATGAGGTATGCATTTTACTTGTCCCTCAGAAATGAAATCCTCAGATGAAATGTCACTTTCTTAATGAAAAATGTTGATTTCATCTCCTTGTGTCATAATTATTCAGTAAAGTTTTGTGGTCTTTAGCATTATTGACTTGTCACAACTTCTTCTGCTCCTGTTGTCTATGTCACAAGGGTGGGCTTTAGTCCAACCATGAATTCAGGTCTTTCATATACACAGTATAATGCTCTCTTTAGGATACAGCCCAAGTTAAATGTGCTTTGTGCTTCATAGCAGAGCTGCTTCCAGTCTAATACAAGATCACAAGGGCTGCACTAGCACTCACAACTGTTGCACACCACCCAACAAAGGCAATAGCCACTGAATCCACCTTTCCTCAGCCCAGTCTTAAACTCATCCCTAGAGTGGCATGAAAGTAGCACCCATGAAGCACCAAGAAGGCAGATCCTGTGTGGGCTTTCCATCTCCTCCTCCTCTTCTCCTCCTGCCATACAGTGAAGCACACAGATTCCACTGTGTTCTCACGGCTCTGTGTCTGCAGGGAGCAGGACCTGCCTTTTGTGCCAAAGATGCAACATAGCCAAATATTATTTAAGAGATGCAAGAATTGGCATCTGTCTGTGTAACTCTACATTCTATGAGAAGCCTTAAACATTCCTCTGTAAAAGTCACTTGCATGTGAGGAGCTGAGCTATTGCAAGTGGATGAAAGTAATTTTTAGAGCAGGGCAAAAATGTTCTGTTCAGACTTTTTTTAATGTAAAAAGGCTTTTCAATTAAATGGATATTTTTACCAAAAACTTAGATTTTTCAGCAACTGAAAACTACAATACATTCATTTTATTAGACTTAAAAAATGAAAAAAAAAATTTGAAAAAAATTGAAGAGTATTTGGTTTAAAAAAAAAAAAATCAGAGGAAAAAATATTCACCAAACCATCTCTGGTGGTAACACAATGCAGGAAACTGAATGAGACTACTTGAACTGAAAATATTTTTAAAATACCACCCAAAAGGATTTTGCTATGAGCCTGTATATCTTTGAGATAGGAAATACAGGCAGTCCCCGGGTTACATGGATCCGACTTACATCGGATCCCTACTTACAAACGGGGTGAGGTAACCCCGCACTAGCTGCTTGCCCCCAGCAGACCAGGGAGACGCGAAGCTAGCGCTCCCCCCAGCATACCAGGGAGACGCGGAGCGGCTTTTCTCAGTAGACACCTCAGCTTGAGAATAAAGGACTGAGGGAAGTGAGGTGTGGGAGAATAAAACTGAGCTCTGGAGAAATGTTTGGCTAGAGTTTCTCCTACAATATGTACCAGTTCCGACTTACATACAAATTCAACTTAAGAACAAACCTACAGTCCCTATCTTGTACGTAACCCGGGGACTGCCTGTAACAAAGAAACTCATTATCCAATTATTACAATAACTTACCTGAATCCCTATAGGCCAGCTGCATATTCTACCTTACTAGTCCTGAGTAGCTGTGACATCCCAAAATGACGCATTCTGGCTATTACAGTGTAGCTGACAGCATGACTTGGAAGGCACCTAGAAGCAGAGGGAAAATTTCGTTTTTAGATAAGTGTATGTCTGACCAAGCCTAGATACCATGGAGATCGGCAAATTGAAAGTACATAGGCAGATGACTATTTTGCACCCAGAGAGAGGGAGATTAAGCGTACGTTTCTGAAGTAAATTAACTTTGCCAGTTTTATTTGTTCATTACCTATAACTGCATGCTTTTACAAAATATAGTAAGATGTCTCCCTTGTTGTTTCAAAATAAGAAGAGTTATTCTGAAATAGCCCGGGTCTATGGTAGGGAGTTAAGTGATTTATCCAAGATCAGATAGGAAGCCTTTGTCAGAGCAGGGAATTGAACCCAGACTTGCACCTTCCCTGCTTGATATTTGTCTTTCCTACCGGATCTGTGTGCACAAATCCCCAGCGAGCACATGTGCGTGGTGAATGAGTCACCTATCTTGCCTTGTGCTTTACTCACCTGATGGTGTTCAGAGCAGGCACCCAAGAATATCACTTCAGTGATAATAGATCCAAGTGGAGTTCTGTTTTAAAAAACATTTAAACTAAAGAATATGTCTTAGTCATGTACTTCAATGGCAAGTTATGATATTTTTCCTTAGAAGATCATAAGTGTTTCAGGGCTTGTTTTCTCTCTCAACAGTCATTTTCTTCATGGAAAATCCGAGACGTACATTAGACCAATCATATTTAGTCTTCAATACATAACATCACTTTCTGCCATCCATTTCAACAGTACATAATGATCTATAACATTTGTTGTTGTTATATGTTCATTGGAACCAAGATTTTAAAAAACTAGAAAATAGACTTCATAGTCCAGATATAGGAGCCTAAATTTGTTGCCTTATTTACAGAAGTGTTGAGCATCCAGCAGTTTCCAGTGAGATGCCTGGAGGTAGGGGGTCCTTTTGAAACCTTATTAATTTAGGTGCCTAAATATGGCCTTACAAGTTTAATATTAGGCTTCTGCTTTTGAAAATCATGGCCTGAATCCTCAAGTCTCACTGACCTTTTGTTTGTCTTCTACATATTTTTTCTTATACTCTTGAATGAAGAAGATTGTTAGAGATGTTATCTGGCTGCTTCTTCAGTGATTGTGTGTCCTTGAACCATTGAAGGATCTGGGATGGGATTTTTCAAAAGCATCTAAATAACTTAAGATAGGAAATCTTGAAAGTCAGTGAGATTTGTGCTTCTAGTCTCTTAGGCACTTTTGAAACCAGCATGTAAATATTTTTTGGAAAAAGTTATGCTTTGTTGTGAACCTATTTGTGGTGCAAAACATATTTTGTAGTGATATTTTCCATGCCATCTCTTCCAAACACCAGTATTTCAACTCAGGATGTTGGACATAAAACATAGAATGAGAGAGGATGAGTGTCTTTTTTAATCTCTTCTAGAATCAGACATGGGGTAAAAGAAGAGCCTAAGTCCCATTGATTTTAATATGAGTTTTCAGTGCTTTCTTACACATCTCTCTATATATAACATTTTTTTTCCTGCTGTGTGATCGACTGACATAATCAGCCTCTGGCAAAAGTGGCCAGAGAGCAAGTAGCGAGCAGTTGGAGCAGCCTCCTAGTACACTTTAAAAATGTTTAGGCCTCAGTCTTGCAGAGACCAGTGTTGAGTAACTTTACATATGCAAGTCAAGTTATTTATGTGTGTAAATATCGGCAAGATCAGGGAATACATCAGGGAATGTGTGTTAAAGAGCTAAGATCATGATTAGAAGTATGTGAGCACATGTTGAAAATATTGGAAACACTTTCAGTCCTAGGAAAATGTGATACTTAAGCTTCAAATATAAAAACGCAGTATGTATTGATAAGAGTACTTGTTCTTTTTTGCCTCATTAGGCAAAATGATGTAATTACCTTACCCACATCCTTTTTTCAACCTCTCATATTTCCTTAACTCAGATATTTTATTTTTCATTTCACTGTGCAGTCTGTTTTCACAAGAATGGCAATTATAAAGGCTTTGGACAAGATAAAAGAAGAGGATTTCCGTAAGTAAGTATACGTTGAAACTGTGTGTTTCTTAGTATTGGGCTTCTTATGTACAGAATTAAGATGGGGAGGAAAATGTTTGAGGGAAATACACAAGCATTGTTAATTGTTAAAAATCTACTGATATATGTAATCATACATATGTATTGGTCAGGAAATGTTGCATTTGCATGACTTTTGACGACATTATAATGTGCTAACATTATCTTTTAAGAAATAATCTCACACTGTTTCAATTAGATCACAAAATTGAGAAGTGAACATTCTGAAAACAATTCCCTCCCCCCAGATTATTTTATGATTAGCAAATTTAGGGCTAGATTGTGCCACAAGGGCACAAGCTTATCTTATTACTGCAAAATCAAATTGCCACAATTCCACTGCTGTTCCCCTGTTGTACCAGCAGTAAATTACTATGTGTTCTGTGTTGGACTGCTTAAAACTTATACTATAGTACAATAGCAATATTGCCAACCCTAGCTATTCAAAAATCATGAGTGAGGGCCCCCCCCCATCAAAAGATTTAAAAAAAATACATTTTTGGGTTTTTATTTGCTTTCTGGCTTTTGAGCATTAGTTTGTATATTCACGTTTTTCTCTGCAACAGTGAAGGTTACTTATTTTTAAAATGATGCTAAGATTCTCACATAATTCCATGACTTTGGGTGCAGAATTTAAGAAAAATATAAAATATTTTGAGAGTCATAATAAAATGAGGTGGAAACATGGTAGCAGAAATTATCTGATGTGCACTTGGAAGAGTTACATGTACATCTTTGGTCTTTTCCCTACCTCCTAGCAAAGATTTAATAGCAGATGATGTAGTATGTTTTACAGAGATAATGAAATTCACAATACATTTTGCTAGTATATTTTGAAGTATTATAAATAAAATTATAGCATCAGTTGACAGAATAAATTAACAAAGTACATTTTGGAAATGTATTATACTTGTGTTTCATGTTCATTCACTTAATGATTCGCAAGAGGTCTTGCAGTGTTTAGTTGTTATATTGCAGCTGTGCTTTGTGTACATAGAAACAACTGCATAGATTAATTTTTGCTACAATGATTCATCATGTTATGAAATTGCTTGTCTTTTGAATGTCTCTTTATATGCAGGCATTTTCCATGTCCCCCAAGGTCACCAACGCGTATCTGTGCTGCTCTGGAAATTGAGTGCACAAATGGTGCAATTTTTGTGGCTGGTAAAAAAATATTTCTCTTGCTGTTATTCTCTTTGAAAAATGCTGTACAGTCTTCATATGTAACCAAATGGACTCCTGCTATTCATTATTATTCTTGTTATTAAGCATAAGAGAAAAGAATACAGATATGCAAGAGTGAAGTTCAAATGAACGTCTTTAGAGAGGAAAAAAGATTACTTTTAACTTGTCTTTCATAGTTTCATAGCATTTAACACTGGAAGAGACCATTAGATCATCTAGTCTGGCCTTCTTCATATCATAGGTTAGTAAATTTCATCGAGATAGCCCTATGTGGAGCCTAATGAATTCAGTTAAATTAAAGCATTTTAGTCCTTAGGAGAGTGAACTGTTGTGTGCCATGGGCAGAGAACAGTTTCAGCAGCAGCTCACTTGGGGATGCCTGGGGTTCTTAAGTTGAATCTGTATGTAAGTTGGAACTGGCGTCCAGATTCAGCCGCTGTTGAAACTGATCAGTTTCAGCAGCGGCTGAATCTGGATGCCAGTTCCGACTTACATACAGCTTCAACTTAAGAACAAACCTACAGTCCCTATCTTGTATGTAACCCGGGGACTGCCTGTATTGATCTACATATACTTTCTTTACTAATGCTAAGGTACTTCCCCCCCTCTATTATCAGCTCTTTGAAGCCATCCCCTACAAAGGTATGCATATGCTAGTTCAAATTGGATTCACCAGGGACCAAGAGAGAAAGGATTTTTTAATAAATAACCTGGTTTTAAACTGGCTCAGGGCTTTCTTCCTGATCCAGAAATGGACACGGCCCCACAGCCATGGCGATCCTTGCAAGGACTTGGTCTAGTGAGGCCCCATAAGCAGTGGGTGTTTATACTGAGCTGAAGCTCTCATGAACTTATAACCACAAGAAATCTCCCTGGATGGGGATTTGAAGGACAACTCCTGGGAGAATCCAAGTTATGGCTGGGATGTTCCTTATAAGCTTAATAGCATGCATGTAGATTCTTTTTTAATATGTTTTCTCTGTAGCGCTTTTACCCTTAAAATATTATCTTTCACAGAAAGACCTGTGGGGTATCTTATAACTATAGCAGTTATACCCACTACCCATCTCCGAATAAAAACCAAGAAGGTTCTGTTTGGGCAGCCTGTCTCTGAAGGCAAGGAACTATGTAGCCTGGAAATAAGCCAGTCAGAAATCTACAGATACATGTCTCTAACCAAGAAAGGCCACGCCTGGGTAGCTAGAAGGAAGCTTGATAGTAGCTGGCATTGCTTAGACCAATGAGGGGAAATACAGGTGCAGTTGCCCTGAACTATGACATAGAGGAGGGAGGGGCTTGGCATTCTACTGGTGATCTCATATTGGTTTTATGACCTATGGTGGGGCACCTGCAGCTTTGGATAGGTATCCTTGTTTGTTATGTAATTCCAGCCAGAGCCATTCCTAGCAGGCTGTGGGGCAACTTTTCCCAGGCTACCCAGGACTCCCAGCTAACATGAATATGGGGGACTGTCCTGTCCATAGGATGTCTGAGGCAACCACTTCAGGCCCCCCCCAAAGCATAGGTTCTGGGGTGGCCGCCCTAAACCATCCTATGGACAGGATAGCTCTGATTCCAGCCACATACACTGTGTAGAGTGGTTCTCTGTTTAGGCTAGTATAAATCCAGAGCAGAGCAAAGTCTATTGACTATAGTGGTATTACCCTTGTTTTACAGCAGTGCAAATGAGAATCAGAATTTGACCCAGAGAGGAGAGTGCATGAGAGTAAATGATGTTTTCAGGTCCTTCACTTTTGCATTTCTCATTCTTATTAAAAATTGCAATATTAAGAGGAAATTATCAAATTGAAAATCATGCCTGTCTGACTTGGTTTTGGCCAACCATTGCTACAAGCAACACCTATATTTAGAAATGAAAGAGATGTATTTTTCTCTCTTAACTTTTGTTTACTTTGTGCATTTGACAGAGCTTGTGTGGATAGTCATTTCACTGTTTGTACTACAGAAGTGGTATTAGTCAGTTTCCTCATCTATTTGTGTGGGGGTTTTTTTAGAGCAAGTGGGAAGGAAGAAACTTTTAAAAACAGGAAAATGTGATAGTAAAATCACAAAAGCTGACTGGGGGAGGGGGAGAGAAAGGTGTTGTACCTATAATTGCTTTGAACTTACACTTTTAATGAACTTGATTTCAATTTGATGGAGTCTCTGTATTACAGTAGAGATTTTGCACCCTGCAATTCATAAATCAGTTCTTGCCGTTACATGGACTCTTATTTCTCATAGAATTCAGAGATGGAAAAGACCTTTTAGATAACCCACTGGGGGAGGGGGAGAGAAAGGTGTTGTACCTATAATTGCTTTGAACTTACACTTTTAATGAACTTGATTTCAATTTGATGGAGTCTCTGTATTACAGTAGAGATTTTGCACCCTGCAATTCATAAATCAGTTCTTGCCGTTACATGGACTCTTATTTCTCATAGAATTCAGAGATGGAAAAGACCTTTTAGATAACCCAGTTCCATCTCCCGGCATTCCTTGATTGAAGCTGTCGTGTTAACATAAGATAATGTGAGGCTGTGACTAGAGCAGGTCAGATGAAGGCCATTCTGTTATGGCAGCACTGAAATAAAACCAAAACTTTCTGAATGTTTCCATGAAAATGGAGTTGCATTGGAATGTCTGTTTTCTGATGGAATCCTGTTTTTTGTGATTTGGAGGTAACATGCGGGATGGTGTATAGAATATTGGGATGCGAGTGAGACAGATTCAAAGTCCCTACTCTGTCTGATTTAGGGCAATTTTTTTTTTTTTTTAATCCCAAATCACTCTGAACGAGGCACAGAGACTTGAACATGAGGGCTCGTCTACACTTAATATGGTACAAACTGCACCATGTAGAACATCTGTGTGGACGGTACCTGGTGTGCCAGAAGGCGTTCTCCCCCATTCATGTAGTTAATCCACCTCCCCAAGCGCTGGTACCCCAGTCAATGGAAGAATTCTTCTGTCAGCCTAGCACTATCTACTTGGGACTTAAGTCAACATAACTATGCTGCATGGGCGGGTGGATTTTTCACACTCTCACTGATATAGTTAAACTGACTTAATTCTCTAGTATACACCTGGCGTGAGTCTCCCATGGACCTAACCTTTATATCTCTCTCATTCCTTCTCCTGACCCTCCCAGTTATGTCTCCCTAAAACATTTTGGCTTTAATAAAATGATGTTCCAACCAGCTCTGTGACCTCTCTGGCGCATATAAGCTATCAAAATGGATAGAATAACTGCTCCGATTTAGCATTTTCCTATCTCTATTTTATTTATGCACAGAAATCAGAAATTCAAAATTGTGATCCCCGTAGCAACTGTAACTCCAAGTCCCTTGTGCCTGTGTAGTATTTAATACATGGTGTTAATTTTAATGATTTAATATAGGTGTGTAGTATTGCGAAAGTTACAGTTGCTGGAGAATCCCTACATTTGAATTTCCTATCTGTAAGATGTAAAATACCCACTGTAGCAGTGTATTGGCATTAGTTATTTAATTTCATTTCATTAAAAAAAGACTAAAAGGAAGAGAATGTGATATGATGCAGTAATAAATACACAAATTACATCGAACAATCTGCTAAAAAGAACAATAAGGTGACAAATAGGCATGTCACCATATCGTCCACTACACAGTTGTTAATCTTATCAGTCACACACACACACCCTTTGCTGCCTCTGTATCAATGGCAGCAAGGAGGCGCAGGGGAAGCGGCAGCTGGTGCTGGTGAGGAGCTGGCTTTAAGCAGACTCCCCATGACCACCAGATCTGCCCACCCCCCCATTTTTCCCCAACCCGTCCCTCTGATAAATATGCATGTGCATGCACTACACAGTTGTTAATCTTATCAGTCACACACACACACCCTTTGCTGCCTCTGTATCAATGGCAGCAAGGAGGCGCAGGGGAAGCGGCAGCTGGTGCTGGTGAGGAGCTGGCTTTAAGCAGACTCCCCATGACCACCAGATCTGCCCACCCCCCCATTTTTCCCCAACCCGTCCCTCTGATAAATATGCATGTGCATGCACTGTGGACCTGTCTGCCCCTCTCCTTGCTGCAGGGGGGGGGGGGGGGCAGGAAGGAGTGGGGGCTGGGGGGAAGCTGGCTTAAAAGCTGTTTTTACCCCCCCCAACACCAGCTCCATGGTGCCACTTCCCCCCACTCCCTTTGTGTAGCAGCCCCTATCCACGGGTGGTCCAAGATCTGTGGGAGACAGAGCAGCCTCTGTCTGCGGGGAGCTTGGAGCTGTCTGTGGGGAGCTGTATCAGAGGCAGCAGCGCAGGGTGGCCCGGGGCTCTCTGGGTGTGGGGCTGGGAGCGCACAGGCTGTTGGCCATGCCCCCAGGGACTATCAAATAGTCGTGTAACAGCTTATATTTCATGTGGTTATATGACTATTCAATTACACTAAATCTAACATCCCTAGTTGACAAGTCAAGTCCTCAAATATTCCAGGATTCAGATTGCTGTACAGCCTTAATTTGGTCCCTTGGAGCAGGTGTATCATCATGAACTTAAAGCTACAGTCCATTATGTTAGGTCAGTGGTTCTCAACCATTTTACCATTGTGGACTGCATGTGCAGCTATCTGTGTGTTAGATGGGCCCAGGCCACCCAATATATAATTTACCTAAATGGCCCTGAGGAAATCTCAAAGGCCACACCTGTTTGCTGATTGGGCCACAGGTTGAGCACCACTGTGACAGATGAATTAATGGCAACGTTCTTGTTTTATTGACAGGAAGGTACAACAAATATTCAAGGAATTTACCACAAACTCCCTGGATAATAGATGGAGAACGAAAGCTGGAGTCTTCAGTGGAAGAGCTGATTTCAGAGCATCTAATGACAGCATTTAAAGCAGATAGTGAGTGTCCAGTATTGTGTGTGTATAATTCATAGTAGTTAGGTTAATTTTTCTTACACATTCTGAAAACAGCCCCCACCACTGGTCCATTGGATACCAGCTTCAGTAGACAGGAGGATTGAATGCACATGGAGAGAAAGCCACGCTCTTGTCCTTCTCAGTTGTCCTGGATGGTCCTTCCATTGCCTATCCTATGTCTGATCAGTCACTAATTCAACAGTACTTTTTGTATAAAAGTATTACCCCTTTTAAAATAGTTCTGCAGCTGAGCCTGATCGTGCCAGTGAGGCACATATAGGAGTGTGTAACTCCTGCATCTCTCCCTTAACAATTAATACACGAATGCTCGTTACAAAATACCCCGTTTAACGATGGAGAATTACTAAAAAGATAACACATTGGTTTATCACCCTATCCTTGTGAAAGTGCAGTAAGTGTGAGTGTACTCATCAAGTGGGGAATGGAGCTTAATTCCCAGCCATGGCTAGGGCCTGAATGGTCAAGCCTAGTGTGTGGACTCAGATCTTGCAAGTTGAACTGGAGTCAAGGATTGGCGCTAGGAGCCCGGAGCCAGAGGAAGATGAAGGAGCAGTCTGTTGTAGCAGCTGCCTGAGGATCCATCTAGTGCACAGACAGCTTCAGTGTCTTCTCTGAGATTAACTATTGCACCAGGACCCTGGGAGCACTGACAGTCCTGTGGTGCATGGGCCCAAACTGCTCACAACCCGTTGACTGCGGCTTGCCAGAGCTGTGGGATGGTGACATGCATGCGGCAGGTGCTCAGAACTGGCAGACCCAGGTTCTAGACCTGTGGCTCTTCATACTTCCATCTGGAAAGTCTTGTTTAATAATTACTTCTGTCTCAAGCATTCTAGAATATCTACCTTGAGGCTTTTCTCTTGGTCTTGTTCCACTGCCTTTCTGCTATGCTTAGAGATCCGCTGTCTAAATGCTAGTCAATGAAATAGGAGTTTATCTGTAGGAGAAGGGTGATTATTCTCCCTCTCTTGGCAACCAGACTCAGAGTTAGTGACCTTTAAGCACAAGGACAAATTTAATTAGAAATTAGCAAAATTCCTTTTCCCCTGCATTGGTATATAGCGGACTGGACACTGGGAAAATCCCAAAGTTTCAGTTGCATCGTACTGTCAGGGCAGGTACTGGGAGGCATCTGATCTCAGCAAGCAGAGCTCTCTCAGCTGTTATCTGCACGGACCTGTATATTAATGGTGAGAAAAGTATAACAGGCTGCTTCTGCTGGTACCTTGCTGAGCTCAAGCAAGGGATCACCTTCCTGTTTTTGGAGCTGATGTGGCTAGTGTCCTGATAGAACTAGTAAATACCTTGATGGTTGATGGAGAGACTTTAGCTGGGAAGGCCTCAGTGCTGTTGTTCCTCACACACCTGGCAGTGGAAGCCGAGCAAACCTTCTACACTATAAAGAGAGGTGGACAGTCTGTGTGGCCTCTGGAGCTCTTTTGAGACACCAGAGTGTGAATTTTTTTCCATGTATTACCTAGAAAGGATGAAGATGTGACAGCTCCTGGGCCAGGTTAACTGGACAAGAGGTCAGAGGTAGAAAGTTAAGTGCCAGTCTCATCCTTACCAGACCTTGAAGAGAATGAGTCTGTTCCTGCAGGTAACACCTGAAGTTCCTTTTCCCTTCTGGCTAAATGTAAGGCCAACAGATGAAAAGTGTTGGAGGTGAGGAATCTCACTGATACCTTGGGAAGCTTGGGAGCGTATTCAGGATAAGAGTCATGGTGTGAGGAGACAACAAAAGGCAGATTGAGTTCATTCACTAACTTTAGGTTTTTAACTCTAAGTAAGACAAGGAGCAGGAATTAGCCGTGAGTGTTTAGGATTAAATTGCTCTTTCAAACTTTCTCAAGGCTGTGATGTCCCTCACTCAAGCCGAGGAACAAGGGAATCCCTGTTTAAGGGATGAGACAGTGACAGTATCCAGTTTTATTAAACTAGAATGCAGACTACGTTTTAAAATCACTTTTACATGGTTTTTCTTCTCTTTTTCTGCAAACAAGCTGAGAGCTCTTTAGATTGCTAACAAATTTAAAGGTAACATTTCTCATTCTCTGTTCATATTTGTTTTTAAAGGTTTTAATTTTTCATCCTCGGGAAGAGAAGATGTGGATGTGAGAACACTAGGCAATGGTAAGGTTGGAATGTCCCTTAATTAAAGATATAAACCAAACAAAATGGTGTCTTGGAGCTATTCAGACATATTTTGCTGTTTGTAAAACTAGCTTGTGACACACATGCTGCTTTGAAACATCCTCTCAATAACTTTACATATTTATTTAGAGATGCAAACTGACATTATTTCATAAGAGCAGTCTGAGACAGACTAGACCCCAACGTAATCTTGTTGGCTGCACAAATAAGAACATTTAGAAATCCATAGTTCGTTATAAATGTCCTAGCTTGCATTTCCTAATTTAATCCATTTGTCATATTGTTAAATATATTGGGGTTTTTTTTGTTTTTTGTTTTTTTTTGTTTTTTTACATAATTCTGTTTTGCATTTTTAGTTAGAAAAAAGCCTGTTATTCTTCCAAATTGATCATTTCATTTTCTGGAGGTAGCTTCTTTGATCAGTAATGCTAATACTTCCAATAGCTTTTAGCTACACTGAAACAACTGTGGTAAAAAGAGTAAAAGTTAATAATGAGGTGTACCAGACGCTGGCTAATTTGTGGTATAATTCCAGGCACTGCGTGCGTATCCTGGGATCAGCACTGGCCCAGAGCACAGAAAGTGCAGCCATTTCAACAGATGTTTAGCTGAGGGAGCTGGATTTAACGTCATCTTGCACCTGGGCATTGCTCTAGGTGACAGCAAATAAGCTAATTAACTTTTTTCTTATTTTATTTTTTAATTAGCACAGACTTGTACAAGATGTCTTCTGGGAAGCAGTAATTTGCACTTACTGATAAGACTTAGGTTTAGTAGCCAAAAAACATCCCTTGTTTCTTTCCTTCCATCTGATGGCCATGTCTCCTAAACAGTCAAACCCCATATGTGTTTGCATAAGAGAAGACACATTTTTCACACCTTCCGACCTCAATGCATAAATCCAAACATTAATTTAGAACAACATGTTTTTATGTTTTATGACTCTATACATGTTGCCAGGAAGGCCCTTTGCAATTGAGCTTGTGAATCCTCATAGAATACATTTTACTGCCAAGGAAATGAAGGAACTTCAGCAGGTAAATCATTTGCACTTCATGAAAATCATAAAGCACACGTACTTTTGTAACAGGGCAGCTTTGCTAACTGATTTCTTTTCTGACATCACAGAAAATTAATAACTCTTCAGACAAAATAAAAGTTCGAGATTTACAGCTTGTCACCAGGTCAGTAGATGTGGTCTCTGACAAGGGATTTCAAAATGGTGCTTTGGGAATTCTGCAAGCATCCTCATTTATACAACTATATAGTTATGCTTAGGTGTGATTCATTTCTTTTGTTTAGAGAGGCAATTGGACACATGAAAGAGGGGGAGGAGGAAAAGACAAAGACCTACAATGCTTTAATATGGACAGACAAAGCAATACAGAAGGAAGAGATTGCAATTCTAGATGATATGAAGGTATCTGTATTTGTCTTGCTTTTAAGAGCACCTGCCCCTTGTTAGGTATAGTATGTTTGTCTCTCTTTTTTCTCTCTGTGTTTTATTGATCATGGGTTTCTCACAACCTTGTGTTGTAGGGCCTATTGTATCCATTCTCCCATTTGCCATTCCTGTTATGTTGTTAAGGCCCCTCATTCCTACCATACAGTCACTATTGCTGTGCTTCTCCTTCACCCAAGATGACCAGTTATTAGCATCCTCGAAGGAAGATGTGTTAGACAGCAGCAAGTGCTTTTGGAGGTGGAAATCTCTCTCCCCCTCACCCCCAGGCACATTTATACTTACTGAAGATCGATGCTCTAGAGGTTGATATTTTGGCATTTGATTTAGTGGGTCTAGTATAGACCTGTAAATCGAATGCTGAGGGCAGCTCCTGTTGGGGGCCAGTACTCCTCCTTTTGCGAGAAGTAAGGGAAGCTGATAGGAGTGTTTGCTCCCATCGGCCTCCCACAGTGTAGATGTCACCAAGGCTCGGCTTGAGGTAAGCCAACTCCAGTTACATATTTTATGTAGCTGAAGTTGTGTATCTTAAGCCGACCTTCCTCGTCTAGTGTAGACCAGGCCCAAATGCCCTTCATGCCATCTCATCATTGCTAAGGGTAGAGGAGCAATACAGTGGAGATTAAAACAGAACTAGCAGTGATTACTTCTTGTTCTGTCTACCCACAGCCAAAGTTGTTTGGGAATACAGGCGGCCCCCGACTTCCAACGCGATCGGTTCCTGGGGAAGCGTTGCAAGTCGGGGACATCATAACTTGTACCTGCATTTATGATAGGTGCCATGCACCATCGTAAATGCGGGTCAAGGACGTAAGTTGGGGGGTTTCGGCCCCTTCAACACTTACAAAAATGGTCATAAGTGTGTGTGTGTGGGGGGGTCACAACTCAGGCTATCGTAAGGTGGGGGTTGCCTGTATTCACAGTAAATAAATCTACATTCAATGGCTGTGCAAAATCATGCAAGCCAAAGGTCTCTAACACAAATATTTGAAGTAAAGAGAAGGTACCCAATATGAATATGAACCATTCCAAGTGTCAGTCGATGAGGTACATTGTGTTGAGATATTCTGGCTGGTCATGTCCATTTCTGGGTTCAGGTTTTGTAGTGTTGGAACATTGCCTCGGGGTCTGATAGCATGAGCATTCTCAAATAGAGACTACCGTTATTTTACTCCAAAAGTGTGTGTTTTGGCTTGAAGCATTGAAATGCATGAGCACAATTGGTGCTCTGCTTTTTTTTATCACAATAGAAAAAGATGCTTTGCAGAA